TGTTCATTCTAGGTGAAAGTGATCTGTTTCCTTTAATAAATTAACTCTTAAAAACAAACGACAAAGAAATAAGATACTGCATTTAATATAGAAGATGCCCTACTTGAACTAGTAACAAATGAAATACACATACACTCCAATAGATGGGAGAAATGGAAGGTGGCAAGATGGGGATGCGAACTCATAATTATGCAAGCATGTATAAATGTTGCAGATAAATCAGATCGACAAGAAACCAAGCACCACTTGGAGAGCTGGAGAACTCAGGTTTATTATGCTTGCAGTCCCAGAAGAACTAGTGCTCTGAGGATCTGGGTCCCGAGCTCAGGGATAACCTTGCTTTTATAGAGCTTATCTGGGCAGTTACAATTGGACAGTTGGCAGGGGCTGATTGGTTAATTTGTCCTCAGGCAGTTACAGAGTGCGGGAGTTGCTATGAGTTACAGGCAGTTACAGAGTGAGGGATTTTTGAATTTAGGCAACACATCTGTTATCTAGACAGAACAAGCAAAAAGGAAGATGAGTCTCTAGTTAATTTTGAAGTCACCCTGCCCTTCGGCCTATGTGGCAAGCATATCTACAGAAGCAGAACAAAGAGCTGATTATAACGTTAGCCTAATGAAAATTTCTCTTCACAGACAGCTCTTATAGTCCTCCATGCAGCACTACTATTGTATTCAGTAGTTTCGATTTCATGCAAACCCAAGTTTCTAAGTTCTTTCTCTAGCAATAAATATTGGTAAGAGGTTATTAATGCAACCTTATGGAACTCACTAAAAGGAAAGAAATTACTGACTTAAAATGTGAAAACAAAATGTATTTTGTTCTTTGACTAGCTGTTAAATAAGCTTACTTCATTTCTTCCACAAAACAACTCTAACAATGAAAATTTTGGAAAACATTTCTTTTTTTTTCCTTTTTAATCAATCAATCAATCAATCAATCAATCAATTTATTTATTTATTATGGTGACGTTGGTTAACGAAATCCAGTAAGTTTCAGGTGCACAATTCAACAGTAAGGCATATGTATATTGCATTGTGTTCACCTTTTTCTTTTTTAAGAAATTGGAATTATTTTCTTTTCTAATTTTCATTTGCAATTGGAGTTGACATTAAATATTACTTTATATTAGTTTCAGGTGTATAGCACAGTTAAACAATTTGCTCAGATTACATGAGGATAATACTTTTAAAATGTTTTTAAATTAAAAAAAAAATATTCTGTGTATCTTATTGCCCTGGGACACCCCGTCCATTGGCATAATGGTTTCAGTGTTTCAGGGGGAAGAACAGATATAAATTAGAACAAAGAAGTGACTGTCACATGGGATTTCTGATTCTCTAGCACAGGATTAATCTTGAAAGCCAGACTTTGTCCAGTGAAAAAGGGTTTTAAAATTTCCTCAATATGCATTAACTTATTAACAGAACTTGTGAGTATGAAGTCTCTTCTGATTGAAAGAACATGAAAAGTGAACAAAATTCTTGCCATAAAAGAAGAGAAAGAAGGAAGTTGGCTACTTCTGACGCAGATTGTGAAAAGGAAGACAGAGATGACAGTGGAGGGGAGTATTCAATCTGGTTCCCCGACTTTCCATTTCAACTCCTGCTCATTGTTGCTGTTTATCTAGTTCCAATGTTTAGAATGCCTATGTCTCTATGTTGTGAGGAATAGAGTTTGGAGTATTAATGGCTTGCCATTGCACTTGGGATAAACTCCTAATTCCTTACCGTGGCCTAGAAGACCTATATGATTTGGCTCTTATGTTAAGATTTTTATATAAAATAAACCCACTATAGTAGTTTAGCCAAACAGGGGCTTATTTTTCTCATTAGTCCAGAAGGAGGCTATTCAGGACTGTTGCAAGTTCTTGAAGAAGTCATAAAAGACTCAGGCTTTTTCTTTCATCTTATTCTGCCATCCATGTGGCTTTTGTCTTTATGGTTTCAAGATGGCTGCTCCTTCTCTAGGGATTGTGGCCTTCTTTCAAACAGGAATAAAATAGCAAAAGGGTTAATAATTTCTGCCAAATGGGCCAGTCTCTTTTCACCAGGAAAATAAAAGCCTTCCCAGAGACCCACGCAGTAGGCTTCCGCTTTCATCTCATTGGCCAGGAAAGGTCAGTTGGCCCCTTTAGATGTAGGGAGCATAGGGAGATAAATTTTTAACTGGACACATTTCTATATATGACATGGAAGAAGGGAGAATGGGTAAGTGAGTACTAAGAAGCAGCGAGTTTGTCCACCAAGCTTCATCAAGGATCAGGATTCTTCCAGCTAACTGCTATGCTTTAGCACATCGACTTTTCTGTTCCTTGATTATGGCCAGGCTCTTCCCTACCTCAGAGAGTTTGCACTTACAGTCTTCTCTGTCCAAAATGTTCTTTCTCCAGTTTATCCAATGGCTGGCTGCTTCGTGTCCTTAGGTATCTCTCAAATGTGACCTCTTCAGAAAAGCCTTCTCGGACAACTATCATCTAAAGTATTCACTTCTGCTTCAGATATTTTCCACAGAAAGTAGTCTATTTCCTTCACAGCACTTCTCCTAATCTGCAGTTCCTAGTTTACTTATTTATAGTTTATTTCTCTCCGCTAGAAAGTAAGCTTCACGAGAGCAGGACCTTGTCCATCTGTGACAACATAGATGGACATTGAGATAATTGTGCTAAGTGAAATAAGCCAGACAGAAAAAGCTGAAAATCACATATCACTTACATCTGGGATGTAAACCTAAAAGCAACAAAGGAACAGGACAAACAAACAGAGACTCATGGACATGGACTATAGACTAGTGGTTACCAGAGGGTAGGGAGGAGGGTGGAGGAGGGAGGCAGAAGTGGTAAAGGGGGGCTCAATTAAAAAAATGTAAGTACATTAAAAATGTTGATATCTATCACAATATATATTTATTTCTCAGCATCTTTTGCCTTTCTCACCAAGATGCCCTTAAAGTTGGTATGTGGTTTCTAAATAAAAAAATAAATAAATAAAAAACAAATGCCCCATTTAAATTTTGATGACACTTATTTAATTTGGGATGTGGCTAAATGGACAGTTACATAAAACCGTATGTATTTGAGAAAGCATTTTGGTTTTGCCCGAGAGTGGGCTGCAACACGCTGTGTATTCACTAAGTAAGTTCTAGCTGACCTAGGAGAACAGTTCCTGAGAGGAGGAACCTGGGACACTTGGCTGTCTGAGCCAATTGTGGTGCAGTCCCAGGGTCATGGAGTTGGTTTTGTTTGCATAGTTGTGTAGGTCTTTAAACTAAGTACTCTCCAACCTCCCTTAAGAAATGTAGAGTTAGAAGAGTAAGGCTCAAAGAACTTTCTATGAGCCCTCCTTTCTGTTTCTCCCATTCTTTGATCAGAGATTTTGAGACTCACTGCCTTACTCTTCTCCTCCCTAATGACTAATCTCTCAGTAGACTTTAAAATGAGCTGAACATTTTAAACAGAATCTGCATAATACATTTCCAGTTTAAGCAGAAGTTGATGGTTATCAACAACATTGAGACCAATATTTATCTGACCAGAGGAAGCCAAATCTAGATATTTTTGAAAAAGCAAGCACATTTTAACAGTACTTCATTACCCAAAAGAACTGTCAAAGATAAAGCTGTACGCTAAAGCCATAAAGACAGATTTTATTCAGTAATACTTCTGCATGAACTGAATTCAATTTCCTTGAAACTAAAAGGAGACTTTAAAGGGTGGAGTGTCCAAGGGAAAGGAACTGAAGGTTGTAAAGGGGATGAGTGACCTATGTGACTAGGACATCTGGGTTTGTTAACTGGAGCTTATATCAGAGGGGAACAGAACTTCTATCTTTAGAACAGGAAGCAGTAGTACAAGTTGAAGAAAGGCAGGCACTGCAGTTAGGCCCTTATCCTTCCACAGGGACTCAGTGAAACTAGCAGAGAGGGTAAGGGAGAGGGGAAGGGAGAGGGAGGGGGAGGAGGAGGGGAGAGGGAGAGAGAATATCTCCCAAAACGTTAGCATTTCAAAGAAAGGGGCTCTTAGGTACTAGAGGCAACAGTTCTGGGTGGTAGGTTTACATCACAAAAGGCAGAGAAAGGTTTATAACTGCAAGCTTTCTAAAGAAATATCTTTTAAGAGAAGGGTCCAGGGTCTATCTGCCTATTACCAGGTTTTGCCTGGAATAAACAATAAATTCTCCTGGAAGTGCTGCGTTTTACTGGACAGGATTTTTTTTTTTTTGTGGTGGGGGGGCGGGGAGGGGGCGGGTGGCCGCTGGGATCGTCCTAGGAACAAGTTCTTAAGCTGCTAGAAGCCTTAGTAGTAGTTTGGTCAAGTCTCCTCGTGCAGAGGTTTAGATGGGGTCATTATACAAGAGTTCTGCAGTCTGATTAATCTGGCTTTTAAAATGGTCAAAGTTTTTAGATTGTCTGTCTATACTACACCATTGTAACAGTGCAATATGTACTGAAAAATTAAATGTTTGCCACATTAATAATATAAAAGTTGAAATCCAGGTTACAAGCTGTTTTGGACCATCTGGATTTCCGATGGTCCTGCTCCTGGCTGTGTGCCTATTTCACAGCTGGTTTACTACACGGGTTTATTACGGCCATACCCAGCAAAGTTTTCTGAAACTCAGCAACTGCAGCAAACAACTTGATAAAAAAGGAAGAGAAAAGTTAACTTTGTCTCTTTTCTTTCTTTTCCTATCACTACTTGTGCTGGCTGGAAAATTACTGTTTGGCTAGCACCCATGGGAACATAGGCTACCGCCCATGGGACCATACTGTTCTAACAATAAGCTTTCTGCTTCTGTAACCCCGCTTGCACAACCGCCCTCTGGGTTGACAAGTAGTGAATAGGAGAAAAATAGACCTTTGTGTTTAAGACAGAACGAAGAATGGGATTTAGGGCTGAAAAACCCTGTACCTCTACATTTCAGGGCTGCTTAATTTGGGGTCTGCGTACCCCTGGCAGACCCAGCTGGCTGAATAAAGAGCGTGTTTCCTATAACTCACTGATTTCTGGTGGTCCGTGTGTCTTTCCGGGGCTGGCGGCTACAACATACTTACTCAGACATGACTAAGATGCGCGTAACTCACTACATCAGCTGACTGTAACCCCTTCCTGCAAGAAAAAAAACCAAAAACCAGAACAAACTTCTCTTGGTCCCCTTTCTTTCTACTTCTTCCCGTTTCTTGTCTTCCTTCCTTCGCTTTTTCTGTCTAGCGCTTTGTCGCTGTTCCCCTCCGCCTCACCCCAAGAACGCCTGCGCAAACTCAGAGGTCCAAGTCGGCAGGCGCTCTGTAGCCCGTAAAGCCTTTGCTTTGCAGCGTAGCCGTAAAGCGCCGGTCTCGCCTTGGGGACGTCAGGGGGCTCAGGTGGTTGTTCCCCGGCAGCTGGGGCAGAGAGTGTCGGTGTCCCCTGTGGATCTGGTTGGCTTCGTTGCACTTAGGAAACAGTTGGACTGGGGAAGCAGCTGGACTGTTATTTTGGGAGGCCTCCTGGTCCCTGTGTGTTTAGGGGATAGACCTAGCTAGTCCTCGGAAACCGGAGGGCGGCCGGGTCCTAGTGCCGGCCAAATACCCGGGGCCCGGGGCTGTGGCGCCGGCGGAGGCAGCAACCTAAGCTAAGAGAGACTTCACTGCGTGAATTCGCCCGTGGGGCGCTGATGGCCGGACGCATCCTGAGAAAGACTTTAGCCACGGTGTCTCTCTCTGTGGCCTTGGCCTCTGTGACTGTCAAGTCCTCGGGCTGTCGCAACATCCCGGAGTGCAGGTACTCCTCCTCTTAGTGCTAGCTCCCCGCGAGACCGTAGGTTGCGTAGAGAACCTGCTTCCGGCCTGGCGGATTCTGCAGGCTTTGTTTGCGTCCGGGATTTTTATTGCCATGCACGTACACGTTTTCAAAAAGGCTCAAAGTGTTTTATCTGCCTTTTGAGGAAGACTAGTGATGGAGACCTTTCTTGATATCAGCTATTGAAATTTGCCCATCCTCCATAAGTCACCAACATTATTGTCCTTAGTTTAAGTAGCACTTTTTTTTCCTGGTTAATACTTAAAACGTTATTATTAAAGTTAATACATGCATTCAGTTTAAAGATGTGGAGGGCATAAATGGTATTAACATGAAAAGTGTGTTTATTCCTCTTAATCTCCACTTTTCATTGTAGATAATGTTTTTATTATCTACCTCTTTTTCTTGATTTGTCAGCTCTGGATAAATTTAAGGATTTGTGATATCGTACTGCCTCCTACTTTTATTCTCCTCCTCTTTAGTTTTTATTTTCCAAGACCATTGTTCAGGCAACACGGTGGCTTTTGCATTACTCTTTCAGACTTCAGTCACGTGCATTCTGTTAGTCATCTCTTCTTTGACATTGTAAATTTTGACAACCTTTTTTTCTTTCTTTCTCTAAATGCTCTCTTTAATAGAAGCCTTTTCTTATTTTATGGATATAAAAAAATCTTCTGAATCTATGAAAATGATAATTAGAATAAAAATTGTCTTTTATTTCCTGAATTATCTGTTTTGGATCAATGGTTCTGTTAGTTTTTGGTCCTTTTTCTTTCTTTTTTTTTTTCCCCTCAAACATCTGGTGAACACCAGTTATCCATTTATATTTTAATTAATGTAGTTCATAAGCATGGTTTTCTTTAAATGGGAGAACTGATAAAACATTGGCTCCATATACCAGGACGCCTAGACTTGAAGGTTTCAGTTGAGTGTTTGTGAGCAGATAGTAGCAGGTGGACAGGCTGGGAACCGGTACTCCTTTGTCTCAGGCTTTACACTAGTGGAGCAGCTTCTTTGCTGAGTGTGGCGGCCTGAACTTTATTTCCTCAGTGTGAATTGTAGTGATATAAAGCCTAAGTTTCTGCTGTGTTCTCTAATACCAGTATTCACGGTAGAGGTCCTAGTCCTTATTTTCTTTAACTTTTGGCTTTATCTTGGGGGTACAAACATAACTATTTCAGACTTTTTGTTTGGGGGAAGAGGAGGAGGACTGATTTTCATGGTTACTGCCCTACTGTCCACTCATGACATTGGGGCCCAATTATTTCAAGCTTGAAACTTCTCAGGGTCCTCCTGTAGAAATGGCATCTCTTCCTCACCTTTTTGTTCATATTCTCAAATATAATTTGCTCTACTTTTTAGGTCAATGTGATTCCACCTACTTTCTATCTCAAATTGGTTAAAATCTCTCATTCACTGATGGGGCCCTTTTCTCTCCCTGGCTGTGGATTTTGTTGCCTTTTATATATCTTAATCTCTTCAGTGGGATTTGGGGAAGGAAGGAATAAACATCTATGCTCTTTGGAAGTCACTAATGCTATTTTCGATAAATGCCACTAAAACAATGTGAAATTTCTTGGCAGTTATTCTTCATTTTTATAATGTTGGGAGCCCTAGGCAAAGCAGGATGTATCCAAAACCAGTGACTGCCTACTGGCTTGGAAGAAAATGCCAAATGTTAGGCCAACGAGTATGTGTTGAGTATTTGGTATCTCACATTGCAAGGCATCCTGGAAGAGACAAAAGAAATTTATCATCAAGAATTTTACTGCAGTTTAATAATTTGGACAAATCCAGAAGGTCATAGTTTTGCAGTTGGTTTTGTGATTTAACTAGAAAATTGTACATGCCTATTTCTAGAAAAAAATAATACACAAAGATGTAGTCAGTGTTTCCAGATTTTACAATGGGATCTATCAGCAATGTGTGGAGAATGGTGTATATTTTATTTCTGTGAATATGTATGTGTATATGTGTGTGTGTGTGTGTGTGTGTGTGTGTGTATAAATAAATAAATAAATATATAGTCTAGATAGTATAGCATAATCTTAAGAGCCTGGAATTCAGACCCAGCTTGACTAGGATCCTGATTCTACTGTAAGTTTACCTTGGCACTTATTTATCTTCTCTGGGCCTTTGTGGTCTTATTTCTAAAAAAAGGATAATAATATCTAACCTTAGAGTTGTGAGGATTAAATGAGTTAATACATTATAGCACAAGAACAGTGTCTTACACATAGCATGCACTATATACATTTAGTTATTATTATGGCTGTTAGTATTACTGCAAATTTGTTTTATTTCAAAGCACCATGACAGTATTGCATTTCTTCATGTTTGACTATTTGAAGGACTGGTTTTTATTCTGTAAAATGAACTTTATCAGCTACTTAATTCCTACTTGCTTGGTAAAATGTATTTTTTGCACCTATTCAATAATGCAATAAAAGAACCTAGGCTATATATGTGTATATTATATATATTCTTATGATCCATTTTAGTATATCACATTTAAACAGAAGATAAAAATAGCAACGTTGCTACTTCTTAATGTGGTAAGATACATAGTCTTTAAAGTTCTGTTTTTCTTGCACAATTAAATATTTTGGAAAAGTAAATAATCAGGTGTGTAAATTTCTCTTGTCAGGGAGGGTAGCAGGTTTGTGGAATTCCACATGCATATTGCTAAACCAGGGAACAAAGAGCTAAGTACTTAAAAAACATCGTTGGTACTTGGAATAGAATGGAAAGATCCGTATTTCCAATTGGGCTTATCATTAATGTCCTTGACTGTTTTCTCACCCTACTCCCAAACCATGAAAAATGACTCTAACTTTGTAATAGAATTCAATTAGAGACTAGGGCTCCACGTGTAAAGTTTTGCGCTTCTGAACATACATACCTAAAGTCTATTTGCTACTTTTGATAAATACATGTGTTTCATAGCTGTTCATTTTTATTGAGTATGAGTTTAGGGTGGGCGATGAAAATCTTATTTTGAGTGTTCATTATTTGGATTTCCTAAGCTATGGCAGCTTAGGCAAGCAAAAATCATAACATGAAAATGAGGAATCCATCACTTTAATAAAATAGTTACATGTCAAATATTATTTTCCCATGTCACATTTGTGAATAGCCTCTGAGGATATTAACTTTTTTTTTATTGGTCAGGCTTTCCTGATTGTTGGGTGTTTGACAGTACTTCCCAGATGCAAACTGAGTGCAAAATGAAATAAAATTTATTCAAAAGTCTTTAAGACGAAAGGGGACAAATTGCACATAAAGCTATAGACAAGAACAGGAAAAAATTAAACAAGTTAAGAATTAAAGAAGAAAAGATAGTTTGGCAGTTTCTCACAAAACTTATCGTATGATCCAGTAATCTTGCTCTGGTATTTACCCAAATAAGTTGAAAACTTAATTTCCACCCAAAAACTTGCACACTGACATTTATAGCCACTTTATTCGTAATTGCCAAAACTTAGAAGCAAGCACATTGTCCTTTAGTAGATGTATAGGTAAATAAACTGGTACACCTAGACAATGGACTGTCATTTAGCTTTAAAAAGAAATGAACTATTAAGCTATGAAAAGACATAGAGGAAACTTAGATGCATATTATTTAGTGAAAGTAACCAATATGAAAGGCTACATATTGTATGATTCCAACCATGTGACATTCTGGAAAAGGCAAAATGATAAAGACAATAAAAATATCCACTGCTGTCAGGGGTTGCTGGTGGGGTCAAGGGATAGATAGGGATAAACTGGAGTAGCTAAGAGGATTTTTTTAGGGGCAGTGAAATTACTCTGTATGATATTATAATGGCTGATACATGTCATTATACATTTGTCAAAACCAATAGAATGTATAACACCAAGAGCGAATCCTAATGTAAACTTTGGACTTTGTTGTGATAATGATGTGTCAGTGTAGGTGCATCTATTGAAACAAATGTACCCCTCCTGTTGATAGTTGGGGAGGCTGTGTGTGTATGGGAGTGGTGCTGGGGGTATGTAGGAACTCTCTGAACTTTTCACTCAGTTTTGCTGTGAACTTAACAACTGCTCTAAAAATTAAAGTCTATTAAAGTAAAAAGACAGGAAGGAACCTTGGCTACTTTCTTCATTTCACACAGGGGTAGGTACATGGAAAGTAAAAGGCATATTGCTCTTTTTTTTTTCTTTTTTTTAAAGTTGACAAGGCTAAGAAAGGGTAATGTTTCAAGCAAGAATGATTTGAGTATCAAAGGGTTAAGGGAGGTCTTGGGGAAATTTTGATGAAGGCTTCTAATATTTTTGCCAAAATTATCCCTTATGATTTATGAAGGTGAAAAGTGAGCGTTGCTGTAATAGCAGTTCTACAATTTTGTTGAACATAAAACATTTGATTAATTATTTGTTCTTAGTATATATATATGTAGATTTATGTATTAGTATATATAGATATAACCTAACTTATTTAACTAATGTAAAATTTATTTTCATAATTTCAAATTTCATTTTTAAAGATAAAGCCCCAATCAAACTCCTTTTTGCTAATTACAATGAAATTTTTATCTCTTCTTAAGTGGCCTTTTTCTTACTTTCAGATAATGAAGAAGGACCTCTTGTATCTATGATTTGTCAGGCATTATGCCAGACACAGGATATAACATTGAGCTACTACAAACATGCTCCCTGTTCTGTGTTTGCTTACGGTCAGATGGCACCCTAATGTAAAAATCACAATTTTGGTATTCAATGAAAAGTATAATGGATCTCTGATATTGTATAGCAGGAGAACTTGGTTTCTTCTAGGGAATTAGGGAGGAAGACTTCCTGGAGGAAGTGAACTTTGTTTTGAATTGATCTGAAGGATGGATGCAAGTTAGCTAGGTAGAGGAGAAAGTAAAGCAGTTGCAGGTAGAAGAGTGTGTAGCTTCCTCTACTGGGAGGGAATGGAGGAGTTTTTAGACACTGACAGCAGCATGGCAAAAGCACAAAGAATTGAGTGTGGTAGGAACTTTAATACTTTTTAAAAAAAGAAATTGCTTTCTATGCAATTGTAATTACTTAAATTGACCAAAAGGCATAAATGTGATCATTCATCCTTTTATTTGGTGTGTTTGGGTAGGTTTCTCTTTCTTTTTTTGCTTGCTTCCTTTTCTCTTTTCTTTTTCTTCTATTTCTCATCTTTTCTTATCCCTTCTTCCAACCCCCTACCCTACTACCCTCTTCTTTACTTCCCCCTCACCTTTTGCTCTCCCTTTCCCTTTATTCCCCTCCTCCTGTACTCTTTTCCATCTCCTTCCCTTTCTTCCCCCTTTTTCTTTCCTCTTTGCCTATTTTTAAATCAGGTTGATTTTTTTTTTTTTGCTATTGAATTGTATGAGTTTTTTTATATATTTTGGATATTAACCCCTTATAATACATGATTTATACGTGTTTTCTTCCTTTCAGTAGGTTGCCTTTTCATTCTGGTGATGGTTTCCTTTGCTATGCAGTAGCTTTTTAGTTTGATGGAGTAGTCCCACTTGGTTATGCTTGCTATTGTTGCCTTTGCTTTTTTTGGTGTCAGATTCAAAAACTCATCTCTAAGACAGATGTCAAGGAGCTTACTGCCTATGTTTTCTTCTAGGAGTTTTATGGTTTTAGGTTTCACATTCAAATCTTTAATCTATTTTAAGTTAATTTTTTGTATGGTGTAAGATAGAAGTCCAGTTTCATTCTTTTGCATGTTGCTGTCCAGTTTTCCCAACACCATTTATTGAAAAGAGTGTCATTCCTCCACTGCATATTCTTGGCTCCTTTGTTGTAAATTATTTGGTCTTATATGCATGGTTTTATATCTGGGCTCTATTTGGTGCCGTTGATCTATGTATCTTTTTAAAATGCCAGTACCATACTGTTTTGATTACTATAGCTTTGTACTGTAGTTTGAAATCAGGGAGTGAAAGGCCTTCAGCTTTGTTCTTTTTTGTCAGTATTGCTTTGGCTACTTGGGGTCTTTTGTGGTTCCGTGTAAATTTTAGAATTATTTGTTCTCGTTCTGTGAAAAATGCTATTAGTATTTTGATAGGGATTGCATTGAATTTGTAGATTGCTTTGGGCAGTATGGACTTTTTAACAATATTCTTCCAATTCAGGAGCACAGAATATCTTTCCACTTGTCCATCAGTGTCTTATAGTTTACAGTGTCCAGATCTTTCACCTCTTTGGTTAAATTTATTCATAGATATTTCATTCTTTTTGATGCAATTGTAAATTAGATGTCTTCTTAATTTCTCTTTCTGTTAGTTCATTGTTAGTGTATAGAAACACAACAGGTTTCTCTATATTGATTTTTTTTTTTTTTTACCGAATTCATTTATTCTAGTTTTTTTGTGGAGTCTCTAGGGTTTTCTATATATAGTATCACGTCATCTGCAAATAGTGACTGTCTTTTTTTCTTGCCTAATTGCTTTGGCTAGGACTTCTAATACTATATTAAAAATTTGTATTGTTTTAAGCTACTGAGTTTGTGGGAATTTGTATGTCAACAGTAGAAAACTAACATATCATGTACATACTCTTAAATATATGTACTTATTTATTTTTTCCATCATTGTTTTATAAAACTGGGATCATATTGTACACATTTATCTGCATTTTGCTTTTTGTTTTCAATAAAACCTCATGAAAATACAAGTCACTTGATATCATTATTTTTAATAGCTGCTTAATAGTCATTTCATGGTGTGGCTCTTCTACCATTTGTTAAACTATCCCCATATTGTTGGGCATTCCTTTCCCATTGAACACTGCTGAAATAAACATCTTATACATATTACTGGTTTTGTTTTTGTGGGATAGATTACCAAAATGAAATTACTGGGTTTAATGATATAAATATATTAGTTATTACTGCCAGATTGCTTTCTAGAAAATATGTAATAATTCACATTTCTACCAGTAATGTGTGGAAGGTGGTGTTATCTTTTTAAAGGGTTGTCATTCTAGTTGGTAAAAAGAATTTAATGTTGCTTTAATTTTCACTTTCAGTTGCTGGTTATTATAATAATCTTTTAATGTTTGCTGGCCACCTGGATCTGCTTTTCTGTAATTGTTTAGTTCTGTAATTCGCTCAGTTTTCTATTCCAGTTCAGTCTTTTCTTGTCAATTAGTTAGAATGCCGTATATTATAGATATGAACTCTTTGAATGTCATACACATTACAGTCCATAGTTTGCATTTTCACTCTTGTGCCCTTTATTCACAGAAGTTGTTACTTTTGTAGTCCAATTTACCTATTTTTCTTTTGTTTCCTGTGCTTTTGTGCATATCCAAGAAATCAATGCCAAATTCAATGTCATGAAATTTCTCCTGTATGTTTTCTTCTAAGAGTTTTATAGTTTTAGGTCTTTCGTTTGGGTCTGCGATCCACTTTGATTTAATGTTTGTATATGCTGTAAAGTCAGGGTCCATCTTCAGCCATTTGCATGTAGATATCTAATTTTCCCAACACCATTTGTTGAAAACTGTCCTTCCCTGTTGATCTTGCCACTCTTGTTGAAAATCATTTGACATATGTGTGAGGAGGGTTTATGCCTGGGCTTTCTAGTCTGTCCTGTTGATCTATGTCTGTATTACACTGTTATGATTCCTATAGATTTGTAGTAAAATTTATCTATCTATCTATCTATTTATTTATTTATTTAGGCGAGGTTGACCTTAGTTGACCTCACAGATTGCAAGGACCTTGTCAGACAATCCCTTGTTTTTTATTTTTATTTTTATTTTTTTACGCCTACAGCACCTGGTCTTCCTAAGTGGTCTCCCATCCAAGTACTAAACAGGCCCGACCCTGCTTAGCTTCTGAGATCATCAGATGGGATCAGGCTTGTTCAGGGTAGTATGACTGTAGACAGCTTTGTATTAAATTTTAAATCAAGAAGAGTGAGACCTCCAACTTTGTTTTTCTTTTTCAAGATTGTTTTGGCTATTTGGAATCCCTCGTTCCTGATCTTAGGGAAAAGCTTTCAGTCTTTCACCATCAAACATATGACCTTTATTATGTTGAGGTAGTTTCCTACTCTTCCTAGTTTTTTCGGTTTGTTTATCATGAAAGGATGTTGAATTTTGACAAAGGCTTTTTCTGTGTCCATTGAGATGATCATGTGTTTTTTTCATTCATTCTGTTTAAGTGGGGTATTACAGTGAATGATTTTTATATGTTAAACCATCCTTGCAGTCCAAGAATAAATCCCATTTAGTCATGGTGTATAATCTTTTTAATGTGCTGTTGAATTCTGTTTGCTACTATTTTATTGAGGATTTTTGCATCGATATTCATCAGGGATATTGGTTTGTAGTTTTCTAGCAGTGTCTTTGTCTAGCTTTGATATCAAGGTAATAATGATGGCCTCATAGGAAGAATTTGGAAGTATTCCCTCCAGTTTAATATTTGAGAAGAGTTTGAGGAAGACTATTGTTAACTCATCTTTAAACATTTAATAGAATTTACCAGTGAAATCGTATGGTCCTAAGCTTTTCTCTGTTGGGAGTAAATAAGTAAGATTTTTATATCACGTTTTAAAATAATTTATATAACCCCATTCACATTTCACCATGTGTCCTGCAATTTTTTTCCTTTATGGTTCAGGAACCAGTCCAGGATCATTGATTGCGCTTAATTTTCATGTCTCCTTAGTGTCCATCTATCTGCAAGAGTTCCTCTGACTTTATCCTTCTTGACCTTAACAATTTAAAGAATAGAGATCTTTATTCTGTAAGATGCCCTTTAACTTAGTTCTGTTCTATAGTTCCTCATGTCTAATCTCTGGGCAAATAATTTTGTAAGGAATACCTCAGAAAAGCTCGCTGTGTACTTTTCAGTGTGTAATATCAGGAGGTATATAATGTTGTCTTATTTTACCACCCCATCAAGTTGGTGTTTGTCCTATCAACTGTTTGTCTCAAGAGGGGAAAATTGATATTGTAAGATCAGGGGAAGGGAGCTGTCATCAGTTTACTATGTTTTCAGAATTCCCTTTTCCACTTTAGATGTCCTAATTTAGGTTCATTAGGAATTTTAATCTTTATTTTAAGAATAATGGTAAGTTTTTAGGCATATGGAGATATGAAAAGTTTTTGTGTATGCTGTGAGGTAAAGGTTAAGATTCAATTTTTTAAATATATATGTTATCCACTTATTTCAGTTTTATGCCTCTTAATTTTACTTTAAATTTTACTCTGAAGTTTACAATTTGCATATTTATTACAGCCTGATTTTAAGTAATGTTACATTGCTTCACATACAATGTATGAACCTTATAACATTAATTTCTATTTTCCAGTTATTCTCCTTTGTGCTGTTTTTGCCATATATTTTACACATGTATATTAGATTGTAGACTGTACTTTAAAATGTATTCCTTAATGTAGACTTAAACGGTTTTCTCTTACATTTGTTTTTATGGTTGAATTTCCATAACAAACTTCCCTTCTCAACTTTTATTCTAATCAAAGTAAACTTCTGTCCCTTTTTCTCAACTTAATTCAATGTAGGTTCCAATTAATAAGATTTAGCAATATTTTCAAAATTTTCATATTTGAAAATATTATTTCATAGATCTTAGACCTTTATACTAATATGCATCACATTTGAATTTCTGATTTTTAAGTTTTTGAAATTGAAAGGCATATTTTTGGGTCTTTGAATTTGATTCTTAAAAAATTTTTTTGTGTGTTTAAGTAATATGTGTTTCTTTTTTTTTTCCTTTCAGAAACTCATTTTCATCCTGTGGGTTTCATCTTAACTCCAACATCATGTCTGCTTCTAATGGTGCCAAAGAGAATTCCCACAACAAGGCTCGGACATCTCCTTACCCAGGTTCAAAAGTTCAACGCAGCCAGGTTCCTAATGAGAAAGTAGGCTGGCTTGTTGAGTGGCAAGACTATAATCCTGTGGAATACACTGCAGTCTCTGTCTTGGCTGGACCCCGGTGGGCAGATCCTCAGATCAGGTGAGCAAATTAGCTGGCATTAGCTGGGCATAAGACTTTTAGAGAAGGTAATGATTGTATTTGTAAATTATCATTTCGACAGCTGAAAAATTATTTTTATCTAGTACTTGACTTTGCTATAACTCATTTTCCGTATTTGCTTGAATTCTTGCCAAAGCTAGGCAGTCCATGTTTGTTTATTCTTTTTGAGGTTTTATGATGATCATTCCAAATAGATAAATCTATTTTGCAACAGATTTTTGTTTTACGAAATGACAAGTGATGGTATCTATTTTCATTTGTTTTGTCTGGATTATTCCTAGGTAGCTAGACTTGTATTTGAAGTAGTGAAAATATTTTTCAGAAATTTTTTTCAGATTACTAACAACAGGATGATGATAAAATTAGACCAGTGTGAAAACTAGAAAAGGGATAAAGGAGAGAAAGTGGAAAACAAAAAACTGAAGCAAAAAATGCTTTGATGAAATTCATTGAAGCGTTACATTGATTCACATTTTATATTTATATTCTTTTTAATACAGTGATAGAATTTTTTAAATGTATTATGAGCTAGGCACTGTACTAAATGTTTTATAAGCATTATTTTATTTTATTCTTATAACTATTCTGGAAGGCAAACAGGGTTGTTATCTCTGCTTTGTAGGAAAACACACATATACGCACACAAATGGCAGCACAGAAAGTTTGTCCTTTGCAGATGGTTAAAGGGCAAATAGATGGTATAGCTTGGACTTGAACTCTGTCTAAATCCAGAATTTATGTTCTTAACTAGTGTGCTAAATTGCCGAGTTTTAAGGTTGTTTAATAAGTTTTTATTTAATAGGTTAACTTATTGTAAATCATAGTCCTTTTAAGGCATTATTTAATTAAGTAAAAAAATTTGCTAGTTCGATAGATCCAGTATTAGTTTATTAGGTTGTTAAACTTTACCATAAACTTTTTGCTGTCATTTGATTTTTGAACCACAGTTCCTTATTTTATCCAAAGATGTGTTTGCAATTTTGTTATAGTACTTGGATTATTAATTAATCATGAAGCTAACCTGTGGAGAAATTATTAGCTTTAAATAAGTTCCTTGTTTTAGAAGATGTACATATTTTCCCTGTTTTAGAGGATGTACATATTCATACATACATTATACATATACACAGTTTAAATTAATGACATTGACAGGGGTGCTATATAGTGTGAACAGAGGAAGATTAAATGCATTTTTTTATTTTTCATCAAATTTTTTAGGAGTTGAATTTATATCACTACTTAAATCAAGCTTTATTACAAACATTATGCTTTAATTATAATTAGGTTCATGCTTTTTTTTTAACAATGAATTTCTAGAATCCCAAGAGCAGTGTAAAGCTGGTTTTATAATTTAATGACTTTTACCATTTAATTATTTTTATTTGTGTGTTAGATGGAAGATTGGTTAGAAGTCTTGAGAAAATGTGTGAATCATTCAAATTAGAAATTATTCCCAAAACAGAACACAAAAATTTCTATGCTCACTTACTGGAATTAAAGCAAAAGAAAAAAAAGTGAAACTTATGTCATAATTGCCCATGAACTGTCCAGTGCTCTATGACTCTTTATTCATTGACAGTGCAGTTATGTCAGTGATTTGATAATGGTAAGGAAAGTAGTTTATTTATGTCTGTTTTCAAAATATTTATTTTGAGATGTGATATAAATGTAGTAAAGTGTACATTTCTTAAGCGTGCAGGTATAGCTCATTAAATTTTATGTTTATATAGCTCTGTAACTATTATCCAGATTAAGATCCAGAACATTTCCAACATATTATATCTGTTTTAAATCTACATTATATTTATTATGAAGTTTATGGGGTAAATTTTCTGTTTTGTGGATTTACTTTGATAAAAATATTAGTGTACATTTGAAGAAATTAAAATTACTTTGCGATAGTAGAAACATCAAGATATCAGAAGGAATCTTATTTTTGGAATTACATGGGAACAAATAATTGCCATATTTTGCCCACAGGCCATTCCATCTGTCTAATAGTAATTATAGACTTCTTTTGTAGCATGTGGAAATAAAGTCCAGTTCTTCTGCCATTAGTCCTTCTCAGAGGGTTATGATACATATTCTTATATTGTAAGGTTTGGTTAAGCTATTGGTAGTATTGGACCATTATTTCTTACTTTGCATTGGTATTCTCATTACAGTGAAAGTAACTTTTCTCCCAAGTTTAATGAAAAAGATGGACATGTTGAGAGAAAGAGCCAGAATGGCCTGTATGAGATTGAAAATGGAAGACCTAGGTAGGTACTGAGAATGGAACATCTTACAATAATGTGTCTTCAAAAGGTAGAAAATATAATTAACATTTATCGAGTGCTTGTGTGTGCCAGACATTGTACAAAAGAATTTATATATGCGATCTAATTAAATCATCACAATAACTCTGTGGGTGGATTTTTCTAGTTTCATTTACAGATAAGGAGAAAATGTAAGCAATTTGCATGTAGTGAGTTAGTGGCAGAGGTGGGATTTGAATGCATCTTTTTGTAACTCAGCCTTGAAGGTAGAACTAATTAATTGAATATGTTAACAGAGAAAAGATTGAAAATGGTATATTCAGTAGTTATTTATTAAATAGAATAATGCCTTAAAGTAAGAGTTTATCCAAACACATAAGAGTAAAATAAAAATAGCCCAATAATTTAACATCAAGAATCTTTCTGTAGTTTTAAAAATTACTTTTCTACACAACTCCCAAATTTTCCATTTTCCTTAAGAAGCCATTATGAAAGTTTGGAAGAAATGTAAAAATTAGCATGACCCAGATAAAACAAGGAAGGATCACAGATTTGTAATTATGGTTTTTACCTTGTAAAAATGTTGCAATTTGTGTTCTTAGTTCCTTTAGGACAGGAAATAGATAACGCTCCTCTTACTGCACCTGGTCTTTTATGTTTGCAAAGTCCTTTACCTTTGCAAAATCCCCTCTTTGGTCATAACTTATTTGCCTTTCTATGTTATTGAATCTTCTGTCAAACTCTCTTTGCATTTGACTTATTCCTTAGGTTCTTTTCTGGGTAACATAAATTAAAAGATATGTACACATATAAAAGCATAGGCAGCAAGGGCAAGATAGCATGTTGTTTTAGTCCAGACTCTTGGACTAGTAGAAACCAACCCTAGCTTTCCTAAGCAAAAAGTGAGACTTACTCTAGGGCTATAGGTTCATCTCTAGGAACCTAAAGCGGAAAATTCAACTAACTTTAGGAAAGGGTGAAATTGGAAATCTATCAGGACTGCTTCTCTGTCTCATCTCTGCTCTTCTTTATATGTTTCTTTCATTTCTCTTTTTCTGCTTCTCAGGCTATATGTCTTCTCCAAAACTTCTAGTTTCTAAATTACAGACTTGCTCACCTCTAAAACCAGCATTCTCTCTCTTAATTATTTGCTTTGATCATTTGTGTTCAGAGTGTATGGTTACATGGAATAAAACATGCTTAATCGCCACCCGCCCCTCCCCCTGTGAATTTGAAAAGTAGTATTGTCACCTGGCCAGGTGCCATGTCTTATCCTTCTGTTTTTATCTGAAAGTCTTGCCGAAATATTTGAGTCTAGTACAAAACAGTATAAAAATTCATTTAACTTTAATAACAGTCACAGGGGGAAGACCAGAATAAAAGGAGATGCTGAAAGAGAAATTTTGGGAAGTTATTTACTTTTACATACTGAGAGGAAAAAGATATAATATTAAATAGGTAAAATTTCAGATTAGGGCATATTACTGGTATGTAGTGATGCTGGTTGAACATTTAAGGTCTATTGATTGGAAGAAAATTACTCAGGCATGAGTGCTGCTATGTTTATCTGACAGGCATTTTAATATTGAGGTGACATTGGAACTTTTATAAAATTGTTTTCTTTAAAAATAGAATACTTGAAATACTTGAAATCTTGAAATATTAAATAATACTACTACCTCATTATATGATACAAAATATATATTACTGAGAATAAAAATTAAGAGCCCACTGAGGAATAATAGACTTTAAAATGTAACAAAAAATGTGTTAATAGGAGAGGTTGTAAGAAAGTGAAGTAGAAAAAGAGGATGATGAGAAAGTGAAGAGAAAAGTATCTTGAATAAATCGTCGCTGTTGTAGAGATAGATAATAGTTAGGTGCAGAGTATTTCATTCTCCAAGATTTAAGAGTCTAGTCAGGTTCTAGTTTGCATTTAAGAGTATATGTGAAAACTGAAATTAAATAACAGTAAAAGGAAGTATGTGCTTTCAGTGCTAGATATATGATAGTGCTACTGAATTTGTGTGGAGAGATGATTTTCTTCTTATTGTTCTTACTACCTTTTATTGGGCCATATCAAGTTGGTTAAAAAAGAAAACGTGTTCAGTTGATTTTTTTTCCAGAAATCCTGCAGGACGGACCGGACTGGTTGGCCGAGGGCTTTTGGGGCGATGGGGCCCAAATCATGCTGCAGATCCCATCATAACCAGGTAAGAACTAAAACAACATTTCAGTAGCAAAGAGCTAAGTGATTAGAAAACTACAGACTGTAAACATGTGTCATATATATACATATATATATGTATATACATATATATAGAAAAATGTACATTATGTATGTATATATGTGTATTTGTATGTGTACACATGCTTCTGTACATATATGTATTTGTATACACGTGTATATATACATATGCACACATGAAATCTATGTGTTAAAGGGACTATATGTAAAATTATAGTGATGTTTTATAAGTGTAAAGCTGTGGTTTTATGTTGTATGAGTAGGTTAGGCATTATCTAAACAAAATTAATTCACCAGATATTTATTAGCATCTATCTATTGTCAGAATTGAGTAGGTGCTTTGGAAGATATAAAAAAGTAGTTTCAGCTCCCTTTCATTAAAGAGCTATGGCAAAATTTACAAGATAGACATGGAATAAGAAAACATGTCAAAGTAACATGGGTGATATAGGATGCTTTAGAAAATTAGAAGATTGGATGTGGGGCATGATGATGGTAAACCAGAGCACCCAAGAACGGCGTTATGAAGGAGGTAGATCGGAGCTGAACGTGAAGCTTGGATCGGGGATAGGAGGAGCCCTCAGAAAAAGACTTGTAGTAGTATCTATTTGAGTAGTGAGGGACAATAAAAAAACCAGCTTGGTTGAAACAAAAGATTCTTATAGGAGAATAGTGGGTGATAAAGTTAATTAATTTTTATATGATTCTATTGTGGAGAATGTTAAATGCCAAAGTTAAGTGTGAACTGGAGCCATTGAAGGTTTCAGAGTAGGGGAAAGCCACTCTTTTCCTGAGGCAGATCTATCTGGTAAGCCAAATCATATTCTGAAGGTTCGTTGGTCAACATGCATCAGAATGAAAAAGGTAGGTGAATCTAATATTTAGATCAACTTAGCATAAATATCCATAGGGACCATCTTTCCAACACACCTGGATTTTTCTGTCACCTCTGTCATCCTTTTAATTTTTTTCATTTTTAGAATTTCTTCACTGACCAGCTCCCTCTTTACATGTAATTGTCAGTTTTCTTCTTTAAATAATGCTAATATTTAATGCAGATATTCTTTCTTTTTTTAGTTTTGATATTTTAAGGGCCTTTTGTTCTTCCAGGAGACTATTTTTCTCTGACCTGAGATATAATAATGATTTCATAGTTTAAGTCTGAAAAAGCAGCTTATTTTCCTTATTTTCAAGTTACCTTAAGAGGTACAAATACTCGCGCCATCTTATTCTTACTTGCCCTTTTAGTTCTGCCAAAATGAATCTTTACCCATCACACCCATCTATTCATTCACCCATCCATCTTCCATCCATCCATACATTCATCCACCCATCCACCTCCCTACCCACCCATCTACCTACCTATCTACCTACCAACATGCCTATCTATCCAGCTTAAATTCCTTTAGAAACTTTGTGGTTTAAATGAGATAGGAAAAGTTAATATATTCTTATTAATGTAAGTAAAATAATGTAAATAAGTATTAATGGCAGTATTAGTTTTTTCCACTTCTGGTGAGGTTG